AATCCCTAAACCCCTAAAACCATAAACCCTAAACCCCTAAACCCCTAAAGCCCTAAACCCTAAATCCCTAAGCCCCTAAAGCCCTAACCCTAGGGTTTTGAGTTTGGCGCTTAGGATTCCGAAGCCTTTCCCTTGTGCACCCAGCCCTGCACCCGTCACGCCCAAAACCAAGATTTGAATTAGGGTTTAGGGTTCAGGGTTTAGGGTTTAGGGTTCAGGGTTTAGGGCAAAGTTTAGGGTTTAGGGTTTAGGGTTTAGGTTTTAGGGTTCAGGATTTAGAAGGCTATCCTGAGTAGTACCCTTTTCTCCGTGTTTTCGGGGTCTCCTTACTACAACCGAATCCTCGGAAAAAAGGATACTCTTCCTATTTAGGGGTCATTTAGGAACCTACTTGTAGAAGATTCACGGGCTCAAAGTTCAAAGTGGGGTAACCCTAAACCCTAAACCCTAAACCCTAAACCCTAAACCCTAAACCCTAAACCCCAACACTATTAGGTTTCAGGTGCAGAGCTCCCAAGAGCCGCAAGGCAGCCCTTAAAGGAACGTATTTCGGAGGGTTTAGGGTTTAGGGTGTAGGGTTTAGGGTGTAGGGTTTAGGGTTTAGGGTTTAGGGTTTAGGGAACCTATGTAGCCCCAGGCCCTTTAGGAGGTTTTCATGAAGCCGGCAAATATGAAAGCTTGAACATTTATTTAGCAACACTATTCCTGAGGTGTACCCATTACAGCGAATTCCAGAAAGTTGGAACATGGGTTTAGGACGATTAGTGCTAGGAATTCTCATACGTTACCTTCAGGGCATGAGGAGAATGATGTTCCAACTTCCTGGCTTCTACTTTAACCCTAAACCCTAAGCCGCTAATCCCAAAGCTCTAAGCCCCTAAACCCTAAATCACTAAACCCTGAACCCCTAAACCCCTAAACCCTAAATCCCTAGATCCCTAAACCCTAAACCCCTGAACCCCTAAACCATCAGTAACTCGCAACCCAGTCTGCTGGGCTTCCGGGCGTTCTTCCGCAGCTTCTGCAGTGGATCCAGCGGCGCGGCCGCAGAGGTTCTGGGGCCCTGCAGGGCCACCTGAAAGAGATAGGGTTTAGGGTTTAGGCTTTAGGTTTAGGGTTTAGGGTTTAGGGTCTCGATTTAGGGTGTAGTGTTTAGGGTTCTGCAGGGCCACCTGAAAGGGACAGGGTTTAGGGTTCAGGCTTGTCGGGTGTAGGGCTTTGGGGCTTTAGGATTCAGGGTGTAGGGCTTTAGGATTGTAAACCGTGAACCCTACACCCCTAAACCCTAAACCCTTAATATAGAGGCATAAATAATTGGGGGTTCCTTAGTACAGTTATACTAGAATTTACACAAAAACCCTATTCTAATTATGAAGGCCCCTATACCCCAAAACCCTCCCAGTAGATCCCTTATAGAACCCTTTAAGGAACCCTTTAAAGCAGCCCAAAAACCCTTTTCTAATTATAAAGGCCCCCATGTGACTTCGAAAGTTTAAGGCTCCCAAATGCGGAGCTCCAACAACCCGGCACCCAGGATCCCCTACATAGGGTTTAGGGTTTAGGGTTTAGGGTTTAGGGGGTTGAGGGTTAAGGGTTTAGGATTTTGTGGGGTTTAGGGTTTAGGGCTCCTTGAATGGGAGTTAGAGGGTGTCTGTAATTTGTTCAAGGGGTCTATATGGGTCGTATAGATAGATAATAGAGGGCCTTACTGATTAGAATAGGGTTCCGCTGTATATTAATAAGTAGGTCGATAAATGAACTAAGAACACTACGGAATAATGCTGGTATTCATGCGGGCTTCCACGATATTGCTTGGGCCCGAAACCCAAAACCCACAAACCTTGAATCCCTAGAGACGAATCCCCAATCACAACCATTAGAATAGGATTTTGTTTTATAGGATTAAGGGGACCCTTGGGATAATATAGACCCTCTCAATAAGGTCCCACTTAAGAAAGCCGTAAGTACGGTTAAGAATCATCCCATTTAAAGGGGTCTCCCCAATACTACCTGGGAGTAACACATGGAGAGACTTCTACACCTGAAACCTGAAACACCAAAGCCTCGCAAAATCAGAAAAGCCTGTGATGCAGGGCCTCGTTGATTCGAACAGGGTTGGGGGATGAAATTATAGTACAACTAAAGCCAGAGCCCCGTGAGGAATAGAATGAATGAGTAGATATTGGGTAATGTAGGGGCCTCAATAATTGGAAAAGGTCTTGGGGGTATAGTATACTACAACTACAATAAGGCACCCATAAAACCCTATTCTAATTCTAAGTAGGCCCCGACAGTCTTCGTAGTTATTGAAGCTGTTCTTTGGACCCCGAGATACCCCGAGCCTGGCCTGGACCCTAAACCCTAAACCCTAACCCTAAACCCTAAACCCTAAACCCTAAACCCTAAACCCTAAACCCTAAACCCTAAACCGTGAACCCTATACCCTCAGCCTGGCCTCAACCAAGAGGGAGGCCAGGAATTGGAGAAACTTTGCACCAACCGCTGCACCTGGCAAGATGAATTAAGGCCTCCTTGAAGGGCTTCTTTAAGGGTTCCTTGAAGGGATCCTTTAAGGGTTCCTTAGAGGGGATCCTTTAAGGGTTCCTTGAAGGGATCCCTTAAGGGTTCCTTAAAGGGGATCCTTCAAGGGATCTATAGGGTTTCGGGCTTAGGGGTTTAGGGGCTTCGGGTCGATGGTGGGCTTGGCTTAGGGCTTCTCTGGCCTTGAAGAAACAGTAAGAAACCCCCTAAACCCTAAAATTCCTAAACCCAACCTTTGTAGGGTTCCTTGAAATGATTCCCTTGAATTCCCGTGTCGTCCTCAAAAAGGTAGGTTATGCCATAACCTAAACCCTAAACCCTAAACCCTAAGGGTGCTTGGGGATCTTTAGTGACTTTAACCCGAAACGAACCCCCGACAGCCCCAATTCCAAACCCTGCCATGAAACCCTAAAGCCCAACGCGATGTTGCAGAAGTGGAGTAGGGGTTTAGGGTTTAGGGTTTAGGGTAGGGTTTGGAGGCTTGTTCGGGGCGCGGCACGGTTTAGGATTGCGGGCTTGGCTTCGGCCGCAAGCTGGCAGCAGACGCAACGATGGAAACCAAGAGCTTGCATCCGGCCAATATAGGGGCCTCAATAATTAGAACGGGGTTTTGGGGTTTAGGGTTTAGGGTTAGGGTTAGGGTTTAGGGTTTAGGGTTTAGGGTTTGGGATATATTGTACTATAACTATAATAAAATAATATTGGTAATTTATTTAGGCCCCTATATTAAGGAAAAGGACTTCCCAAAGTCTTGGTTTGCAGTTGAAGGTCTCGCATCAGGGCAGCAGGTTGTTGTGTTCAGGGTCACGAGGGGGATTTCAGGTAGTCTTTTCTGTTCGGCTGGATGTAGGGTTCAGGGCCTAAGCTCATGTTCGTAGCTGCTGCGACGATGGGGTGCTAAGGCTGCCTTACAATCATGAGTGCTCTCTTGGAGGTTCATGGGCCTTAGGGAGAGTAGGGCAGCTGTAAGTACAACCCATATGTAAGAAACTTATAGCCTCACCTTATGGCTAGCCGTTCCCATGGACCTCCCGGTACGTAGACCCTAAACCCTAAAAGGAACCCCTATCCAGAAACTACCCATGAACCTCCAAGCAGCACTTCTGAACATCCGTCAACCAGAAGCCCTTGAGCCCCAGCAGCCCAACGTAGGTACTCTTTAGGGCGTAGGGTTTAGGGCTGAAGGTGTAGGGTTCAGGGTATAAGCTTTCAAACCCAAAGTAGGGACTTGCAGTATACCTAGCCTGGGGCTCCAAATATGGACGAAACAAGACATCCTCAATCAGCTCCTGGATACAGCATATCACAGAAAGAAAGTTGGTACGAAGCCCATGGACCAGGGACACACACTGTAACAACAAGCAGACATGATTCTCAAGGACAGCCCGAAGAAAATTCCCTAAACCCTATACATTTCGACGGGGCCTTCTGCGGGACTTCGGCCAGAGAGTACCAGAACCGCTGCTAGGGAAGCCTCTCGCAGAGAGAGACTTCGGGGCTGAGTTAGTAGGGTTGAGGGTTTAGGGCTTAGGGCTTGGGGGTTGAGGGTTTAGGGGTAAAGGGTAAGGCTCTAGTAGACGTTTCGCTTAAAGCACTAGGGTTTTATTGCCGGCTCCAAAATGTGATGTTTAAGGCTTTGTCTGTCACTTTAACCCGAAATCCTGAAGGATCCCTCCGAGATCCCGTCGGGAAACTAATTGAGTGCTGTAACCCCTTAAGCTACTGCTCTGAGTCCCATGATCCTTTAAGTAAATACGGATCCCTGAGCCCTTAACCCTCAAACCCCCTGTAAAGGCCTCCAGTACGCCAGTCTCGACCATGGCGCTAGCAAGCACCTTCCGACCAAAAAGGACCCAAAGGAGTAGGGCTTTGGGCTTCGGGCCCGGAATCTCTCGATTTTCTTGCCAATTTCGTGGCTATGCAGATTCGCCTTGCTAAAGCCGTCGTATTGCAGATGCGTTGCTGCGGCATTCCGTAGCTGTTGATGCTGAACCTTCAGGGTTTAGGGCCAAATTGGGACAGTCCTTCTGTTAAGCTACAAATGACACCTGAGCTGAGGAGTATAAAGTCACAGCAGCGCCTGCAGACACAGGCTCAAGCCGCGTCCAGCTCATCAAAAGCCCCAGAACGCGCAGAAACCTCCCAATATGGCACTGATTAAGCAACCCTGGGTCGTCATTAGGGTTCTCTGCATGAATCCGACGATTTAGGGGGTATAGGGCCAGGGTTCCTTAATCAAGTTGATGGCTTTAGGGCTTCAGGGGTTTATGGTTTTAGGGTTTAGGGTTTTAGGGTTTAAGGTTTAGGATATTAAACTCACGAAGTATGTTATATGCGGGACTTGCTTTGAGGGTCAAGAACAAGCCCACAACTTTGAAATCGCTTCGCTACTTCACAGCAGAATCGTTTCTCTCCTGTTCCCAGATGGACCCCAAACCTACAAATCAAAAACCGTCAAACCCGAAATCATGAACTCCAAGCCTCACGCCGCTCAATGCCAAACCCCTGACCACCTCAGCCCTCACACACCCTACGCGGAAGCATTGAGTTCAAAGATATCCGTTGGCTCATCGAAACCGAACTCTGGCAAAGTAGGGGCCTTAATAATTAGAACAGGGTTTTGGGGGGTTCCCTATTATAGCTATAGTATACTATACCCCCAAACCCTATTCTAATTATGACGGCCCTTATATTACTATTCCGTCATAAACTTCAGCCAGCGACTGTGATCCAGGGGATTAGGGCTATAGGGGTAGTTCTCTAAATTAGGGTCTGTTTTTTGATTCCCAATATAGTACGGCACCCTTTTTTCAAGGACCGTGGAAGGGACCCTAATTTAGAGAACTACCCATGGGGTATTATAACCCCCAAGCCCCAAAAACCTAAATCCAAAGCCCCATTCGGCGATTGCAACTTCCAGACTTGCAGGCTGTAGGGTTTCGGGACTTGCGCGCGGGACCAAGTTCTGGGGGGTTTGGGGTTACGGGTTTAGGGTTTAGGGGTTTAGGGGTTTAGGGGTTTAGGGGTTTAGGGTTTAGGGGTTTAGGGGTTTAGGGGTTTAATTAGGGGTTCAGGGGTTTAGGGGTTTAGGGGTCTAGGGTTTAGGGCTTATTAGGGTTTGGGGCTTAGGCTTCCGTTTCCGGAGCCTCCATGTAGAAGTTGAGAGCGCGATTCTGTTCATGGATGTCGCCCTGCCGTTGGTCATCAGACTTTTTGAGTACAGGGCTTGTGGTTGGAAGTGGCCTGTTCACAAAGCGTCGCCTGAGGCCGAAGAAACCTAGAACCTTTAGGCCTGCCTGCGCGTCCCTGTGTTGGTACCAACAAGGTTTTGGGGCCCCTTATAGTATAATTATGAACCGCCCAAAATAGTATAGGTAATTATTTAAGCCCCTATACTAGGGTTTAGGGCACAGCTCACTTCTGATTGTCAAGCAGCTCCCCTTCCTTCATCCGAAGCCTCCACTTGAAAAACAACCTCTCACATCACGAAACTACCCATAGGCCCCATAGTAGTTCCTTTTTGTGGCTTATATTTAAGATCCTATTAGGTATTCCCAAAACTTACCTGTTCTAATGCCAGTCCTTTAAAAGTTCTAACGTTTAAATGGTGATGACACAAATAAATACCATATTCATGCCATATAGAAAGCCAATGTCACCACACTCAAGCGACACCCGTGACTTTTTCTCCGCGCTGATGAAAACCAGCACGGTCCAACCTTAGATGGAAGGAGAGGTGGCTTTTTTTTTAATCAAATGGTGCAGGGACCGGGCTTTGGGAGGAGACTGGAGGTTTACGTGTTTCGGGGTTAGGGTTTCGGGTTCCAGGGTTTGGGGTCTAGGGATTTAGGGTTTGAGGGCTTAGGGGGCGTAGGGCTTTAGGGCAGGGATTTCGTGGGGTGGTTGAGTGCTGAATGATTTAGGAACGTTTTGTTCTGGGTGTGCAGGGCTTCGGAAGTTCCCATGTAGAAGGACCGTGTACCCCTAAGCCACAAATCAAGGGTAAGTAAGGCAAACAAGTAGGCCCCTAGGATCCCCTCCATTTTCTCAAGCCCTAATCCCGAATTAATCAAATGGTTCGGGGACCGGGCTTTGGGAACAGGGTGGAGGTTCAGGTGTTTCGGGGTTAGGGTTTAGGGTTCAAGGGTTTAGGGGTGTAGGGCTTTAGGGCAAGGGATTGGTGGGGTGGTTGAGTGTTCAAGGATTTAGGAAGGTTTTGTTCTGGGTGTGCCGTGCTTCGGAATTTTCTGAGGTTATCAGAGTTTCGGATTCCAGGGTTTCGGGTTTGAGAATTCAGTAGGGTGAAAGGGTTGAGGTTTTCAGTGTTTAGGTTTGCAGACTTGTGGGTTTGGGAATTGAAAACTGGAACCTGAGAGTAGCCCGCATGCATCAAACTAAGACTGAAATCAGTGAGATCCAAGCATTCTTCTCTCGCCGCACTGGCGCTGATTCCGACTCCGACTCTCGGAGCACGACTCCGGCCCATCAGAGCCACTTGGTGCCTTGGCTAATGAAGCGTGGGGTAGCATTATTGAAGAAGGAAACATGACTACATCAGCCAGGTTGCGTCGTTTGAGGAGTGTGTCGACCCCCGAGCGTTGGTCCATTTTCAGCGGCTTCTGTTTGGAATCGAGCACCGCCTTCGACACCAAAGAAAAGGCGCCCTTCAGCCTCCTTGGTTTGAAGAAGTCTAACAATTGAATCTAAACCAGAACACTTGCAAAACCAGAACACGCACACAGATTAAGGACAAGAGTCAAATGCTTGGCTTTTTTCCGGGAGGGCAAAGCCTAAACAGCTTGCGGAGGAAGTTGCAAACTATTGAATCCCCTTATAAACCTTTAGAGGATCCACTAATATGTTTGGTGCATAGCATATACAGGATTAAAAGCTTAAGCGCTCAAAAGTTTGGTCCTGAACGGGTAAGAAAAAGGAACTACTATGGGGCCCATGGGTACGTCCAACCCCATACATACGAAATTAGCTAACCACTCAGCGACGCCATGTCCTCATGAAAGGGCCGATGTACTGGCAGCATACCGATGGTCACAAGTGACGGCGATGTCCGCGATCGGTAAGTGACAGGTGAGCGTGCGGCCCCAAGCCGAAATGGGGTGGCAGACACTCGGATGTTTCTGTTCGGGTGCTTTTGCCGCACTTCCCTAGAAAATGCCAGCACCTGATACGCGAAGGAATTCCGTTCGCCGTGACAAACTTGAAGCTGTCAGAGGGGAGCATCTCGATCCGTGTCTTCGGAAACGCTGAAAAGGATGCCCCACCAGCAAAACATTTGAATGATATCTCTGGCGCAAGCTCCAAGTAATTAACCTTTCACCGCCGTTCGTGACCTCGAGTGCATCAAACTCTTCTACATGCTCAATATTGAAAGCGAAACGCGAAGGGCTTAGATTAATTCAACAGCAAAGCCCTCCCGGCCGTACTCTTGACCTCGACCAGGTAAGTAGGCATCTGCCTAGTTCAGAAAGCGGGGAACTTGCCAGCACAACTGTGGAAGCTTCTTGTAGTCTCGAATTCAAGATTTAGAAGAGTGTAGCGTGGAGCTTGAGTAGCATGACGATGCAACCCTAAACCCTAAACCCTAAAGCCCCAAGCCCCACACCCGAAAACCCTAAACCCTACACCCGAAAGCCCTAAGCCCTAAAGCCCTAAGCCCTTTCGGTGCTGAATCCTGAACGATGCATGAAGGGTCTGGGCTTCAGGTTTGAGTTTAGGGTTTAGGGTTTAGGGTTTAGGGTAGGGGTTTCGTGATATTGGGCTTCGTAAGAGATGAGAGAACCGAAAACATAGAATGCTTGGTGTTTAAGAACCTCTCGGCCCTGCAAACCCAAAAGCCTATCCCTAAGGGTCCAAGTACCTAATAATCATACACTCTCCCAAATACCAAGCTACAAAACCAGTATCCGTAAACCAATTACCCAACTATTAGGTCCCCTGGGCCCTTCGGGTATCCCTTTAAAACTTTAGGCCTCGCCCGCTACAGGATGTATACTGGGTACTGAAGGGCTCTGCGACCCTGTGATGCATGCTGATACCTCGTACTTGGGGAATATAGAGTAGTGAAAAGTTATATCTTACACTATAAAGCAAGCACTGAGCTCGAGGCCACGAAGGGAGAGACGGCTCAAGACGTGAAGTAAGGCGTTTGTGCTCGGATCTTCAACAGGATTCCCTCAGCAACATCCGTTACGGCATCAAAACTTTCCAAGCCCTAAACCCTGAACCCTAAACTCCAAACCCTAAACCCTAAACCCTGAACCCTAAACCCTGAACCCTAAACTCCAAACCCTAAACCCCAAACCCCAAACCCCAATGAACTCGAAACCTCGGAACCCCAACCCCCCGAAACCACGCTCCCCTAAACCCTGCAACACAGCCCTTGGCCATAAGTCCCCCAAGAAGGGTCATAGTCATACTAGCATAGCTACCCTACTTATATCCCCACCTATAACTACCCCTACACCCTAAACCCTATGCAACCCTTAAAAGAATATTTCATATAGAAGCCTACATGATTACCTATGCTATTTTGGGGTTCCTTAGTTGATAAGTATAGTATATTATACCCCCAACACCCTCTTCTAATTATGAAGGCCTCTACACCCTAAACCCTTCTAGTAGATTTCTTATGGCACCCTTTAAGGAACCCTGTAAAGGAACCCCAAAGCCCTATTCTAATTATGAAGGCCCCTGTACATGACCCTACTTATAACACCACTTCTAACCCTAAATACCCTAAACCCTAAACCCTAAACCCTAAACCTTAAACCCTAAACCCCACCTCCGAGCCTCCGAGTCCCTGAGACTCCAAAAAAGCCATCAGCAGGGTTTATGTAGGGCTTTGACGGTTCCTTGAAAGGGTACTATAGAGATCCTAGGCTTCCTTGAAATGGTACTGTAGGGTTTAGGATTTAGGGGTTAGGGGTTGAGGTTTAGGGGTTTGGGAGCTAGGGTTGGGTTTAGGTTTAGTATAGGGTTTAGGGGTTAAGGTTTAGGGGTTCGGGGTTTTGGGTTTCAGGGTGCAGGGCCATATGTTGACCGCCTCAGCGCCGTCGGAATAGTAGAACGCCAACCTGAGCTGAATCGAAACAGCCGAGAGGTTTAGTATGTTTGGAACCTGTATAAACTTCGTTACCCACCCCCGAAACCCCACAGCTCCCGGCGTTTTATGCCCGCTGAACCCGAAACCCTGAACCCTAAACCGTGTATTCTTGACACGTCCTGCCGCAGAAATTAACACATGCCCGAAGGCCTGGCGGCCAGGTCTTTTGGGGGCGTCTTTGGGTTTTACGGGGTCTGGGAGTTTAGGGTTTAGGGTTTAGGGTCTTGGGCCTTTGGGTTTTGGGGGGCCTGGGGGTTTAGGGTTTGGGGGGCTTAAGCTTTGTGGCCTTAAAGATGAAATGAATGTTGAAAGGGTTTAAAGTTCATATACCATTTAAGGCTTCATAGTATAAGGGTATAGGGCCCCATACTTTTAAGGGTCATTTCGTCCCTAAGGTTTCCGGGTTCGGGGCCCGGTAAGGACTAAATCTGAAGGTGCTGTCTAGTCTGAAATGGGAGTTTCCGAAAGTACCGGGGTACCTTATTTTGGGGTCCTTATAATGAGGATCCTACTATTTAGGGTACTACATTAGGGTGCCTGTTTTCGGAAACCCCCAAATTTAGTTGACATGAGTTCCACGAATGTAGCTCATTTGGTGAAGCTCAACAACGTTTTCGCCATGGTCTGCAGGTTTTGTCTGGCGGTAGCATAGACCAAAGTCCAGAAGAACAAGTTCACATAGGGGCCTGAATTATTACCTATATTATTCTGGGGCTTCCTTCTTATAAATATAGTATAATGGGTCCCAACACCCTATTCTAATTAAATAAGGCCTCTATATGAAGCACAATATTGGAGGGAAGCGAGCCAGATGCCGCACCGAGACTATGGTACATTAGGACCTAGCTCCACTGTAAGATATTTACAGTATTTTCGGGGCGCTGTAACGGAACGGCCTGCACGACAGGACATGGTGAACCCCATTTGAGAGAAATTTTGATCGTACCTCAAACCAGCAAGATGCAACAGGACTGCCGAAAAGACAAAAACAGCACTACAGTACCCACAAAGAAAAGAAGTTGGCATCGGGTT